CCCCCCCGCCGGGCAGAGCTACGGGCAGACCTACGGGCAGTACCAGCAGGTGAGGGGGGGGCACCTCTGGGGAGGGGTCCCCACTGGTTCTGGGTAGGTTCACACTGGTTTTGGGAGGGTTCACACTGGTTTTGGATGGGTTCACACTGGTTTTGGGTAGGTTCACACTGGTTTTGGGTAGGTTCACACTGGTTTTGGGTAGGTTCACACTGGTTTTGGGTAGGTTCACACTGGTTTTGGGTAGGTTCACACTGGTTTTGGATGGGTTCACACTGGTTTTGGGTAGGTTCACACTGGTTTTGGGTGGGTTCACACTGGTTTTGGGTGGGTTCACACTGGTTTTGGGTGGGTTCACACTGGTTTTGGGTGGGTTCACACTGGTTTTGGGTGGGTTCACACTGGTTTTGGGTGGGTTCACACTGGTTTTGGGTGGGTTCACACTGGTTTTGGGTGGGTTCACACTGGTTTTGGGTGGGTTCACACTGGTTTTGGGTGGGTTCACACTGGTTTTGGGTGGGTTCACACTGGTTTTGGGTGGGTTCACACTGGTTTTGGGTGGGTTCACACTGGTTTTGGGTGGGTTCACACTGGTTTTGGGTGGGTTCACACTGGTTTTGGGTGGGTTCACACTGGTTTTGGGTGGGTTCACACTGGTTTTGGGTGGGTTCACACTGGTTTTGGGTGGGTTCACACTGGTTTTGGGTGGGTTCACACTGGTTTTGGGTAGGTTCACACTGGTTTTGGATGGGTTCACACTGGTTTTGGGTAGGTTCACACTGGTTTTGGGTGGGTTCACACTGGTTTTGGGAGGGTTCACACTGGTTTTGGGAGGGTTCACACTGGTTTTGGGTGGGTTCACACTGGTTTTGGGTAGGTTCACTCCCCCAGGAGATCCCTGGGTTTGGGAAGCACCCAGGTAGGGGAGAACCCCAGTTTGGGGAGGGGTTGTGGGGGAGTTTAAGGGAGGGAAATGGGGTTTGGGACTATGGGTTTGTGGCTTTAGGAGTGAAAGTGCATTTTTGGGGAAATGAGAATGGATCTGGGGGGTGAAACGTCTGAGAGGAAAGGGATGGAGTTCTGGGTTGAAGCTCCTTTTGGGAAAGAGGGGATGGGATTTTGGGGTAGAACTCCACTTTGGGGAGGAAAGGGATGGGATTTTGGGGTGGGAAATGGTGATTTTGGGAGAATGGATGTGGGTTTTGAGGTGATATTTTTAGGAAGGCGAGGAGGGGATTTGGGGTAAACTTTTTTGGGAGAAAGGAGATGGGATGTAGGGGTGAAAACACATTTTCTGGGGGAAGGGAAAAAAAAGCTGATTTTGGGGAGAACAGGTGGGATTTTGAAGGGGGGGGGAACCCTGCTTTCTCAGGGAGAGGGTTTTGGGGCAATCCTCCCCTTTTCTTGGGGGGGATAGGGGGGTGCTGACCCCTCTTTTTCCCCCCCAGTATGCCCAGCAGTGGAGCCAGTACTACCAGCACCAGAGCCCCTGGCCCCCCTACTATGGCACCTACGACTATGGGGGGGGCTACAGCAGCTCCCAGGGGGGGACCAGTGCCCAGT